AAAAAGAGCAATGTATGCTTGGATTATAGAAGAGACAATGATAAATAGACAAGGTTAATTTATAATTTTATACGGATCCATGGAGCATACATATGTGAAGTGATCGCAAACGTCGATTAGCTGTAACGTAGTTGACTCCTAACAGTTAACGTACGCGGTATGCGCTTTGAAGCACGCTGAAACTTCGGCTCGATAAGGGTATACTTATACGCTCACCTGAGACTCCGTTAGCTGAAGATGGCACAAGAGGACGGCGACCCAAACGGCCGCCAATTCTCTTATCAGCATGTTCCTGCAACAAAGAAAAGATTCTGCGTGAGTAGGCGTCGATCTTACATCTCGCGTAGCTGTGTAATTAAACAGATTACAGATGATATCATTGGGTGGAATAACGGAGGCGATGCGCATAATATTTTCTTTCGAAACCCCTCGATTTTTCTCTCGAGAATTTTTTTTCATTGACGACTAGCGACTTTCGTCATCGGCATATCTAACGAATGAAACGTGCAACCGTTTTATTGGCGACGTAGTTTAGCGATCGTAGAATCGCAGATGAGGGACAGGCGCGCTCGCGATGAGCAACGACTTTTTTCCGGATTCGTCGGACGTGCGTCATAATTGCGAAAGAATGCGGAAGATATCGTCGACTTCTGCACACCCGTCGAATACACACCCGTTCCCATAAAATTCCTTACGGTTTCTGTGGCTGAATTGTGGCACAGAGCGGCTTCGTATCTCGCCCCGCGTAACCGAGTGCCACGATAACCGTCGCCGGCCGCGAAGATTATTATTGATGACGTTACGCTGCACCGCGCACCTGCGTCTATTAACCTGAACCTGAACTACCTTATTTTCTGTCACGCGCCAACCCCAGCGTGGGGTCATTTCGCCGCTCTTCCGCGTTCGTCACGTTCCGCAAATACGTCCCCATCTATTAAAACAAATAACGATTCTAAAAAAAATAGCAGCCCAGAATAGAAGCCCATGAGGTAGTTCCCGACGAAGAAGAAAGAAATGGAAGAAAAAAAAAAAATGTGTAACACGGCGGCTAATGTGGAACACGTTGTGCGCATTATTGCAGTTGCGTTTTCCAAGTCGCAATTGCGAGCAGCCGCGTGACGCAACAATCGCGCGAGGCGCATCGTGGATGAGCGAACTCGTGGGAAGCGCTGGAAAGCGATCCTGTGCGCCTGGCGATGCACCTCGCGGGGAGGGAGGTCGTCGGCGCGCGGCATACGGATCGCGAAAGTTTATTATATTTCGCGTCTCATGCCGTTATACAGTCGCTTTTATGCAACCAATGCGCCATTGTCCGTCCGCGAGGCGTCACAATCGCGCCTCGCGCTTAACTGGAGCAAGCGGTCGTGCGAGCATCCGCGCTTTAATTAGCGCGCCTGGATAATTAGCGCCTCGTCGGATTCGGGGATGCCGATTGCGTCGTGAGAATTCGCGCGTGAGCTCTTCCTTAATCGTACGCGCGATCGTCGCTACTCTTTGGAACTTTGATGCGCGACGAATTTAGTCAGAGAGCCGACTTCGCTGATTTTTAAAGGGAGACTATTTACTAGTTTTTTAATCGCGCACGAGTTGTGAAATTTTTATTCGCGGACGTAACGGGCCGCTTTCTTGAGCGTCGATTCGTCGATTCGTGTCATACCTCTGCGACCGTTGTTCCAAGGCAAAAGAAGCTAATTCGCGTAAAATAAGTTCTCGTTCTCGACGTTCTTGCGTAAACACGGTCGTCGGCTCCTCGAACGAGACGTTCGTACGGCCGAAGAGGCGAGATCCGTTAGATTTGCTATCGACAGGAAGTATCCTATCGGGACTGACCGCGACCATGAGATTACGATTACATCGCGATTACATCGTCGTCAGCGGGAAATCTTCCTGCGGTGAGCTAAACGTCCCGCCGCGTGCCGCCACTGCCCCGTTCGACGTAGTCGATCCCTGACGATTATAACGGTTTATCAGGGAATCCGGACGCACGCGCGTCACAACCGCGTGCGCGTGTGTGAATATAAATGCAGATACGAGGCGCCTCTCCTTCGAGAGAGCATCGGTGCGATGCATCTGTGTACGTGTGGGTGCGCGAACGCACTCGTCCTGCTCTTGTCTTCGACGCGTCGTGACGCGAAACCGGTAAAATGGAATCGAGCCGGTGTCCTTCGGGTTGCTCTCGAAAAGATTCGTGGTCGATAGTAATCAAAGAAGTTAAACCTGTCCACCTCCCGTGACTTATATTTATTTCTCCCGAGCGAATGTACGCGGTTCCTCCGAGGGAAAGATTTCTCGTCTATTACAAGACTGCGAAACGTTATACAGACTTCAGATATGCATACAAGATGCTTCGTTGCTAAAGACTAATAACGTGGGACGTTGAAGTCAAATGTCCTTCATTCAGATTCATTTAAATATCAATTATAGGTGAATAATTCAGCAAAAAAAAAAAAGGAGAACGCTATTATCTATTTATAATATCACATAGGCGAACAGGAATTATGCAAGTTTACGGCGATTTATAAAAGGATAGACAATTCTACATTTACAATGTTAATCGTTGACTATCATTAGTCGATAAATGGAAATATTCCGTCGGCTTATTATTATTATTATTATTGTAAATCGCAATTCGCGCAGAAACTAGAATATGGTAGTCGCATAATCGCAGACCGCTGAGTGGCGGGAAGGCTGGGATCGGTGGAGGCTGGATCCCAGGCTGACTAGAACTGGACTGGATCCTAGGTCAGCGCTAGAAAGTATTCGGGTTTCCTGTTAAGCAGCACGAAACGGTGCGTATAAAAAGCGAGCAATGACTCCTAGACGCGTACGAACGCCGATGAAGCCGAGCGTGAAGGGACGCGAAGGATAATTCGGCGCTTGGGGAGCGGGAAAACGCGAATTGCGTCATTGAATCGGACAGGACTTTTATCGGATATGCCTTGATTATAAGGGTTTACGCAACTCTTCAAAAATTGATGCTCTTGGTACGCTTTAATGTTTTCTGATTTGAAAAGCAAAAAGAAATCACTTAGATGCCGTAACAGATCACTTTGCCGTCGTCATATCCTGCGTAGATGTATAATAAATATATTAATAATCGCGTGGGAAAGCTGCGTGTGTGTGTGTGTGTGTGTGTGTGTGTGTGTGTGTGTGTGTGTGTCTCTATGCGTTTCGCAGTTCTCCGCGCGTTCGGCCATAGCGAGATATCAACACGCGGGATATCAGCCGTGGACAAATTTATTTATCTCCTCGCGCAGTGTGCCGAATAACGGTCTTCCCGTGTTACCAGGAAACGCTCGTATCGTCATAATTGCGATAGCACTGCAAACATACTTTCTAACTGGATCCTCGAGCCTGATTATCTTGATCCTTACGTCGCGATCAATTATTTCTATAATAAAGGAGGATCCTGCTGTTGAATTGTACGGGCGCTTCTCTTTAATTACAGTAATGACTGCGATATTTCTCCGATTCCGCGCATTCGGAGCACAATTTACGTATGGATCAACGTCACGGCGTTTAATTGTACCTTTTTTGCTCCATTTCCGCGAAACACTTCCGTCAATTTCGTAAAAAGGTTTTCCCACGTGATTAATGTTCCAACTATCTGAAAGTACAAAATGATGACGAACTTCCCAGGGAAACATGTGTTCTACAACTTTTCTATCGATTTCTAATAATATACGCTTGTTAATATACGTCAATTTATGCTCAATTACCGTTATTTACCGTTATCAATAGTAAATTCTGCGAGGCGTGCTTCTCTCTCGCGTTCGTTTATTCTCACGCATTGAATTAAAATCTTTATCGAGCGTGTAAGTGTGCTAACATGGAAATAACATTATAATAATTTATCATTAATTTAGGATGTGGCAAATTTAACGAAATTGGATTATTTTATATAAAGTTCCCAAGATGAAAAGCTTTGTGGAGAGTGAATATTACGTTCATTGTTTGCAATTGGTTACTCAATTGAACTTTGAGATAAATTTTTGTGGGAGAATGTACTTCCTGTTCCGTTTTCAAAGGTAGCCTGTATTTTGCGAAGGTCGAACGATAACTGAAAATTTGTAGATATTTATTTTACAACAATCGAAGGTCATTCTCTTCTCTTCTCGATTGAGTTCGTCGACTCGAGAGAGGCAGCTAGGAGGAGGCTTATTCAAATACAGATATCACGAAGTGAAGTACCGCTGCGCATTGTCCGCCGACCACTTCCGGCTTCCTCGACGTCCCATCGGTGACACATCCGTTCGTCGGCGACGAAATTGGTAATCGATACATCACAATGCCAAACTTGAATTCGACCCACGCGATACTCGAGAAGCCCTTGATGTAATCATTATCCCGTAGCATATTATACGTATGTAATACGAAGAGACATAATACGTGACGCAAGGCACATCTTTCGCAACTCCCATAACTGCTTCCTTTTAAATAATATTAAAAGATGTTATGCGTACTTGATAATATGCCATCTAACGTATAATTCTATATAATTCTTGGCGGAGTGCATGCTGCCACGAAAAGATTGAGAACTGAGGCAGTCTGAGGCAGTTTTGAAATTTATTGTTAGGCGAGATAGAGAATTGAATTAAAGAAAGAATCACGGAAAGACATCTCTGTCGTTACCCTTTACGTAAAGCCTAATAACGCATCTGGCTGTAGCTCCGTGAGAATTTTACACGCCGCCATGCCTCTTAGTGAATGGAACTACATGGCCTGATTACTTCAGTGTTACCGTAATCGTGTCTACGAGGTTTTGGATGAATTGGTAAGCGTAGACTCAATTCTCGATGTAATTCTCGGCGTGATATAATTTCCGGTTGACATCGACAATCTCCGAGTAAATGTTTCTTTCTTTCCTTCTGTCTCTTTTTTGCGTAACGGTATGCACGAAATGTTTCAAAATTTCTTATTCGATGACGTAAATGCGTCGTTAAGATTTTTTTATTCATGTCAAATTATCCAGGAATTACGATGTAACTGACATTTACAAATTTATTGGAGTGTGAGGCCGGCTCCGGAGGCCACGATGGAGAATTTATGACTACCGAGGGGATGGATTTTTGAGCGTGGGTGTACTTTTCAGTACCCCCGTGGGAATCACGCACTCGAAGGAAGTTTTAGCGGCCTCGCCTTTGTGCGAAGGGTCGGGATGCGGACCTCCTCCTTCTTCGTCATTGCCGCCGCAATCGTTAGCATACGGCGCTTCATCTTGCTGAAGGCAAGCAAGCAAGCAAGCAAGCAAGCAAGTTCGCTCGAGCAGACGAGCCTTTTCTCCCTCGCGCG